CAGCCCTGCCCATCTCCCGTGGCCCCAAGCCTGTCCCCACTGCTCCTCTCCTCTGTTCCTGCCCCTTCCCCTAGTTTCATTAAAGTCTTCATTAAATGTCACCCCCAGCCCCATTATTTTAACCCTTTCTTTTCAGGGACAGACTTGGGAAAGAACTGGGGAGGGATATGTTCAGGGCCCAATGTGAGACTGGGAAGCTGCCTTGGGCCAAGGGCATTGCTCTCTCTGGGCCTCAGTTTCCTTAATGTAGTGGTTTGCGGGGGGGGGGTCACACGGGACCCTAGCAGGTGGAGCACTTAGAGCAGCACACCTGGTGGGTAGCAGGAGGCAGGGACCCTGGGCTCCCCAGTAAGTGTCTCCTGCACTGAAGGCCTCCTGGGCGCTATCGGAGCCTCCCCCAAATGCAGGGTGTCTGTCCTGTTGCATTCTTGTAGGCAGCCCTGCGAGGCCGCAGTGATCTACCACTGAGAGGGAAACGGAGGCACACAACAGCAAAAGGCCATGTACTCGGTCCCCTCTTACCCAGAACTGCAGCCCCACTGGGAAGGTGACAGGGGCAGGGTCATAGTCACCAGGACAGGCAGGCCTCAACGGCTGCAGAGGCCCCGCCCATGAAGAAGGGACATTTGCCCTGCACATCATAGACAGTGCTGTGCTGGATTCACCCCTGGCTTTCCCTGGGGAGCACAGCTCGAATCAGCCCGGGATTCTGATCCAGGTTTTCTATTTGTGACTTCTGTCTTTAAGCCTCAGTGTCCTCGTCTATAAAATGGGTGGCTGTCACCTCCTCACCAGGTCCCTGGAAGAAGGAAGCAGGTAACAAGTGTCAGCTGCCCCCTGCATGGTGTCTGGTACTCATGCATTGGGCACCTGAGTTCTGGCAGCTGCATCCATGGGTGAACCGAGACCCCATCAGGAGCAGCGACCAGCTGTGGGGAGGGCCGGCCCGGGGACGCCCAACACCAGGCACACACACGTGAGTGTAGCAGGGACCGCTTTACTGATGGAAATGAGGGGCCAGGGCTCAGGCCTCCCCGGCGGCCTGGAAATCCATGTCCTCAACCAGGTCCTGCAGGTAGGCCTTGTACTGGTCGGAGGTGAGGGACAGGGGTTGGCTGTTGGAAATGTGCAAGTCCACGGTGTTCTCTAGTGAGGAGGCCCCCTCTGCCCGGGCCAAGTTTAACAGGCCCTTGAGGCAGGTGGGAACAACCTGAGGAGGAAGGGCAAAGCTGAGTTAGGGAAAACACCTAGCCTCTGTCCACTGTGGGGAGGAGGAGTGGACCACAACTCCCCAGCCCGCAGCCTCGCCCAGAATAAACGGGCGCAGAGCCGCTGTGCACTGTTGTTTCCCTCATAGCCACACATAGGAGCCAGAGTCCCAGGGCTGGACAGTTTGTGGTCAGGATGCCTGGGAGGCTGCTAGGACTTAAGGTCTGCCCAGTTCCCCAGAACCTAGAGTTCAAACAGTCTCCAGGGTGAGGGCAGGCTGTGAAGGACACAGGAAGCTCCTGGGGATAAGGAACTGGGACAGCTGAGCCTTGGAAGTCAGAAGGTCTCAGAAAGGCTTCTGGCAGTTGTAGTTCTTGTTGTAACCTCTTCCCTTCCCAAGACCGTGCCTCCCACCCCCAGGATCCCAGGGCTGCAAAGCACCTTGACCATCACAAGCCTCCTGACCCACGGCTGGTTCTGGGGCCATGACTCTCCCAGGCAGAACCAGAGAGTGTAGCGTGGCGAGTGTCCACTTCCTTCCATGAAGGCAATCAGATCTGGGGGCCCGGGAGTCTAGTCAGAGAAGGAAAGACCCTCACCCCACCCCATACCTTCAACTCAAGTAGTAGCACTGCCGTTTCCACTAACTAATGCCCTCCGCCCCCATGACGGGGTGCACCTCTGAGGAAAGTCCTTGGAAGGCTGCTATAACCTGAAGTGTCCCTCCTCCCTGCCTCCCACCACCCTACTTCGGCCCCAGCACCTGGAGCCCCATCTTTTGAGGGGGAACCAGGCCCTGAGGAGGAGAGTCCCACTTCAAGGATGCTCAGTGGAGTTCAGTTGGGGTTTGTGTTTCCTGCTATTTAACTCTTGGCTGTGCTGTCCAGTATGTGGACAGTTGCCACATGTGGCTATTTTAAATTTAAATTGTAACTAAGCTGGGTGTAGGAGGCTGAGGCAGAATGACTGCTACAAGTTCAAGGCCAGCCTGGGCAACATAGTGAGACCTTGTCTCAAAAAAAAAAAAAAAATACAAATAATTGTGACTAACAGCAAATAAAATTTCAGACTCACTCCTTAGTTGTGCTTGGCTCATTTGCCTTTCACCAGGCTGTGTGGCTGGTGGGTACCATACAGGACAGCACAACCCAGCTCACTGCTATCACTGCAGAGCAAGGCCCTAAGGGTCTTCTTTCCTGCTAGCTATTTTTTTGGGGGGTGTGCAGGAAATGGCACCCAGGGCTTCACACTTGCTGGGCAAGTGCTCTGCCGCTGAGCTGCACCCCTAGCCCTCCCACTGTTTGGACACCCTCTGTATTAGTAATCATGGCAGTGACAGCGGCACCCAGTTCCCTGGGACCGACTGTGCTAGGCCTGTGGACCCTCACTGCAGAGGTGGAGAGGAGCCAGTCGCTCACGGGGGAGCAGGCCTGTCCTTTGCCCAGGCACAAAGGGGCAGGGTTTGAATTCTATCCCACACTGCCTGGCCCTGGCTCCTTTCCTCAGCCACCCCACTGATGCCCACACAGGGCACTCACCTGCCACGAAGGGCCCCAAGTCGAACACATTGCTGTCCATGTCCTTGGTGACCTCGCCTTTATGTCCGTGCTCACAGTCAGGGAGCAGCTCCTCACCCATGGCCCAGTACGCATGGCAGTGCCCCAGCCGCCGGGCATAGAGCCGCTGCCCTGCTCGCCACAGAGCCAGGCCCCCGCCCAGGCTGCTCAGCACACGCCTCACATAGCCTTTCACCCCCTGGTCTGACAGGGACACCTCAGGGTCTGGCAGTGTTATCGGATGCCCAGGCAGTGTCCAGTTCCCAGATTCCGAGCCCACTAGCCGCAGGCCCCCTTGGGGGAAGATGGTCTGCTGGAAGACCTGGTGGCCCCGGTAGAAAGCAGTGACTTCAAACTCCCACTCTGAGTGGCGGTAACAGCGGCAACAGCAGTGGCGGAGGGACGGGGACAGGGAAGAGATCAAGAGAGACCAGGTAAGGGCCCACCGCGCACCTTGGGCCCCACCACCCCACAGCTGGCACTCACGTTCCTCGGACACCAGCAGCTGCTTCAGTGGGTTGTCAGAGGGTGCTGGGTTTGGACAAGGTACGGGGTTGTCCAAGTTGGGGCTCAACACGTGCTTTGCGCACTGCTCAGGGGCCCTGTCATCTGGGGGTGGGACCAAGACCATGTCACTCAGCAGCTCCAAGATGTCTTCCTGGAGGAAATAGACATTTCATCAGCCTAGCCAGAGTCAAGTGGGTGACAGGGAGGAAATGGAGAGGACAGAGGAAGAGGCCTAAATGGGCCCGTTGGCCCTGGGAGGGACGGGACGGAGGGCTGGGTGCGTCTTCACCTGGGTGTCACAGGTACTGCCTCCCTCATTGGTTTCCGGAGAGGTGTCCAGCTGGGAAGAGTCCCTTGCTCCTGTGGAGAAGGGTTGAGTAGAACGTGGATTCTAGAGACCCCCCCAGATCCCAAGCCTGTGTGGAAAACCCTGCGCTGGCACACCTGAGTGCACAAACTCGTAAACCTTATGAGGGTCGTGAGGGTCCTTGCTTCGGTCCTCAACTAAACGCAACACTTCCTTCCGGTTCAGGGCCGATCGGAAATTCCTCTTCCAAGTTGGCAAGTCGGGCTCATCCCTCCCGGGAATGTAGGCACCACTGGCCTCAGCCCAGGCCTGTGGCAACATCAGTACGGGAGAGTGAAAAGGAGTATGTGGACCGCACCCCTGGAGTCCTACCCTGCCTCCTGCATTCTTAGCTCCTCCCAAATCCACAAAGTCCCCCCTGCAAATTCTGGGAGTCTCTTCACCCCAGGCTCCTGCCCACACTGAATCCCAGGCCTATCTTTCTAAACTCTAGGGTTTTTTTGTTTGGTTTTTGGAGACAGCTTCTTGGTACCAGCAGGTTTCAAATTCAGTGATCCTCCTGCCTCAGCCTCTGGGATCCCTGAGACTACAGGCCTGGGCCATCACGCCCTGCTCTCTAACCTAGTTTTCTAGGCCCTGCTTGGTGTCTCACTCCAGCACACCCTCTGTGATAACACCAACCCTCATATTCTTAACGGTCTACCGCTAGTTGTCCTAATTTGGTAGTTAGTAACCCCATCTCTGAAGTTTCAAGAATTCTACCACCAGGGCCCCACCCATAATGAACTCCCAACTTCCAGGTCGCATTTCCTTAGAGATCCGAACCCATTTTCCCGGAGTAATCCCTTCCATCCCTGTGGCCCATCAGGCCCATTCTGCTGGCCTCGCCCCTCCGGCTCCAACTCCACCCATCAGTGTCAGCAGAAGCCCGGCCCTCCGGGGTCAGCCCCGCCCCCGGGTAGAGCACTTTCTGCTGTGCGTGGAGCTCTTGATTTCCCAGTGCTCCGGAGCTCACCAACCTGGAAGATGCCGAAGTCTTCCAGCTGCGCATCCTGCCTCAGGCCATGCTTCCAAGGAATGCGGAAGCGCTTGCGCCTACGGTCCAGCCAGGCCACGCCCTCCAGCTCCCCCTGGTCCAGCTTTGACACCAGCCAGGGCAAGATTCGCGGCTTTGGGGCTCCCAGGGTCCGGCCTGCGCGCACGGGGCAGTTCCTGGGCGCGGGCAGCCTTCGGGGGTCACGCGCCCCCAGCTTTCGCACTGAGACCTCCCTCTCCCCAGCTACGGGGCAGGCCCTTCACCCCTGTTTTCCTGGGGTACAAACAGGGGACCTCTGCCATGTTCCTATTCTGCGAGGATTCTCCCTGTACAGGGTCGACCCAAACGAATTCAGCAGCCGCTCTGGCCCCTCAATTCCTGCCGTGCGAACCCTTCCCTCAGCCACATCATCAGGCAGGTAACCCCACTTCTAGGACGGAGCCTCCTTCCCTAGTTATTTCAGCTGCTACTCCCGAACTTTCCCTTGTGAAGATTCCCTCCCTCCACAACACCCCCCGGGAAAAAAAAAGACCCCGCGTTCTAGAGGGGACTTTTTTACTGTTTGCAGAAATCGCCCTCCCCTTCCCCCCAAGAATCCCCAGTGTAGGCGCCTCCTCTCTTTCTCCTTCCTCTTTCTAGTTTTTTCCATAGCCGACCTGCAGCTCTAGCCATTGTAGCTCCCTTCTCGTTTCACAGAGTGCACAGCCTTCCTCTGCAGCTAGCAGTGCAGATCCATCCTCTCGATCCTCGCTCCGAAGCCACCAGCTCTTCCGCGTTACCTACCCTGGGAGCGTCGGGGCGCGCGGGGTACGGGACGCCACCCGCTTTTTGGACTCCGGGAAGCTCTCAAACTCGAACCTGGGCACCCCGTTTCCTGTCAGCTAAGCTATGGGGCGCCGGGGATTTCCTTTCTATCGAATTTTCTGTGGTAAAAACAACTTTATTAACCTTTGGGTAAAAACTCAAAAGATAAAGGGGCGGCCCGACGAACCCAGGCCGTTCCTCTCAAGACCTTTTTTGGTCTTCCTGCCACAGGCATGCTGGGAACGTCATATGCAAATTAGACGGCACTCCACCTCTCCCTTTCTACACTGGGGCGGTTACTAAATCGGCGCAGTGCGCAGGCGCGGGAAAGTTGAACTAATAAAAGTTTGTATAACGTGAGTGGAGGAGGGGGCAGGGACGGCGGAGACGAAGGCGGCGGGGCCCCAGACCAGGTGAGCAGGGTGTTGCCGATGGCTTGGGTGAAGAGGGAAAAGAGGGTGCCAGGATCTAGGATCTGGCATCCTAATCCCGTTTCTCCGTCTTCAAATGCCCGGGGTCTTCGAGGCCAGCCTGATAGTAAAAACTACACTTCCCAGCAGGCTGAGCAGCGAACGAGCCCAGAACAAGGGTACTTGTTTGCTGCAAAGCCTGCTGGAATTGGTAGTTTCTGATGCACCAAGGGCTTAAGTAGTTTGGCATTTGGCTTCTTCAGAATACAAGAGTTCAGAGCTCAAGCCCCATTCTCCCTCGGAGATCCAGGAGTCCACGCCCCCAGGCACCTTCTCCCTTAGATCCCCAGATCTTCCCTTTCCCAGGATAAAGTACTCCTCACCCCTCATGTCCCTGTGGGGACCCAGGAGTACTGCTCCCAAGAACCCAACTCTTTCCGAAGGACTCAGCACCTACTCTCAGGAGCTATGAGTCCTGGTCAGCTCTTCATTCAGAGCCTAGGAGTTTGGACCCCAAGCTTTCACTTCTCGATGAACCTTGAGTCCATTTGTCTGCCTTCTCTCTCACAGCTGCCTCCATGGCAGGCTCGGAAGAGCTGGGGCTCCGGGAGGACACGCTCAGGGTCCTAGCCGCCTTTCTGAGGCGGGGTGAGGCTGCCGGGCCCCTCACTCCATCTCCACCCAGGTAAGAGGACTTACTCTCCTCCCCCAGGCTTACATTTGGGTTGAGGGCCTCTCTGACTCTTGCTCCTGTCCTCAGCCTCTCTCGTCTCTTCATATCTGGCTCCCTGGGATTCGAAAGACAGGACCTCCCCAGGAGGAGGAAGGGACTGCTTGTAGGCGGTCTCCAGGGTCACTCTCTGAGGTCTTCTCCCCAGGAGCCCTGCCCAAGTGGAGCCAACAGACTTCCTGAGCCGCCTTCGAAGATGTCTTCCCTGCCCCCCGGGGAGAGGACCTGTTCCTCCTCAGTCCTCTCGGCCTTGCTCTCTGCCTCTTCGCCCCTGCTATGGCTCAGAACCTGGTAAGAGACCCTCTAGATCCTGGCCCTGGAACCAGTAGGGCCAGGATCCTTGGTTCCTAAAATGCAGATAAAAGAAGATACTAGTTCAAGGTGACTGGGCTAGTAAGTAGCCGTGTGGGGTCTCCAGCACCAGTCTTCACCATCCTGCCTCCACCCCAGCTCATTTAGGTTTTTATCAGTTCTGTGAGTTAATTGTGGGGGTGGGC